CTGACGAAGTACACGGGCTGTTGTTGCCCACTCTTTCCTTCTCGGACAAGCACCGAACTTACTGCTTCTTGGGAAACGGACAGATACAAATATAAAAGCTCCCCTGGTTCCGGCTTACTAAGAATTGGTGGTGAAGCTAAGATATTTTTGAAATGCTGAAAAGCAACTTCACACTCCTCAGTCCATGTAAATTCAGATCCCTTTTTTAAGAGTTGAAAAAGTGGTAAAGACACTTGCGCAGATTTAGCCAAAAACCTTGACAGAGCTGTCACTCGCCCATTTAACTTCTGAACTTCTTGAACATTCTCTGGGCTCTTTATTTCCATCACCGCTCTACATTTATCCGGGTTAGCTTCAATTCCCCTTTCTGTCAACAAAAAACCCAAAAACTTTCCTGCCGGAACTCCAAAAGCACACTTACTCGGATTTAAACGCATATTATGCTTCCGAACTTGCTCAAAAACCTCTTGCAAATCTGCTAAATGCACCTTACCATCTTCCGACTTCACAATCATGTCATCCATGTACTACCTCTAACATTCTTCCCATCTGCTCCTTAAACACTTTATTCATCATCCTCATATAAGTTGCCCCTGCATTCTTGAGCCCAAACGACATGACATTGTAACAATACATTGCATTTTGTGTTACAAATGTTGTCTTCTCCTGGTCTTCTTTCCATAATGGTATCTGATTGTACCCGGAATATGCATCCATGAACGACAACACTTTATATCCTGACGCCTTATCCACTAGATGATCGATACTGGGTAAAGGAAATGGGTCTTTCGGACAAACTTTATTCAAATGCGTGTAATCTGTACACATCCTCCATTTCCCATCCGGCTTCTTAATTAACACAGGGTTGGCTAACCATGTGGCATACTCTATTTCTCTAATGAAACCTGCTTCTAACAACTCTTTGGTTTTTTCCTCAATCGCATTCCTTCTTTCAGCACAGAATCTCCTCTTCTTCTGGGCCACCGACCTCGCTCCAGGAATTATTGCCAAACGATGACAAGATAAAGAAGGGTCCATCCCGAGCATATCAGAAGGTTTCCATGCGAAAACATCAGCATTCTTTTGCAATAACTCTTTCATGCTAGCCCTCACATCAGGTTCTAACTCAGAACCCATTTTAGTAACCTGCTCCTTACCTGCTCCTAACTGAACTTCTTCCATGGTCCCCACGGGCTCTAGTCTCTCCACTTTATTTTCTACTCGGGGATCCATCCCGACTACCATTACTTGCTCCTCTTTCTTTTCGTATACTTCCCTTTGTGCTTCTCTCTTCTCTTTGGCCTCATCTCCCATTATTACTCGCTCCTTCTTACTTTCCTGTGGAATCCTCAAACTCATGTTATAACAGCTTCTTGCCATTACCTGATCCGCCTTTATCGTTGCCACCTTGTCATCCTTAGCTACAAATTTCATTGCTAACTGATCAATTGACAAAAAGATCTTGAATTTCTTCATGAATGGTCTGCCCAAGATAATATCATACGTGGAACCCAGATCCACTACCGCAAACGATAAAGTGACTGTCTTGTGTGTAGGCGCGGTCCCCAATGTTAACCTCAATGGAATGTATCCCAAAGGTTTAATCTTATCTCCAGTAAATGCTAACAAATCAGCTCCACACGGCTCCAACTGATCATAATCTAAATCCATTCTTCTGAAAGCATCCCAAAATATAATATCCACTGAACTCCCTGGATCTACCAACATTCTATCAACTTGATAATTTGCCAACAATCCCGAAATCACTAAGGGATCATCATGCTCCGGGTCTAGTATCTCATAGTCTAAATCCTCAAACACTACCTGATTGCCCGTCTTGTTTCGCTCTTCTTTAAAACGCGGTTTCTCTGAAATGGCCATGCACATCTTTAAGTGCTTTTTCCGGGCATTATGAGATTCTCCTCCTCCTGCTCGCCCACCAGCTATAGGGCAAATATGCCCCACCGGAACTCGACTCGAAGACGATTGATTTTCTGCTTTTTGATTTCTGTTAGCCTCCTTATTCCTTCCCCCAGGCGGGCTGCGACTTCGGTCTAATCGCCGGATCTTATCTTCCTTACACCCATCTTTTTATCCTCTTCTTACATATTTTTGTAGTTTCCCTTCTTGAATCAACCTTTCAATAACATTCTGCAGGTTAAAACAATCATTCGTATAATGTCCATATCTTCGATGAAATTCACACCATTTCGTTTTATCTGCCTGGGCATAACTCGACCGAATAGGCGGAAGCCGTGGAACATTTCGCATTTCTGTAGACATTACCTCCTTCAATATCTGGGCTCTGGACGTATTTAATGGTGTGAAGTCTCTCTTATATGCTTCTCTAAATATTTCCCCTACTACCCGAGGTCGCCTTTCGTCAAACTGTTCTCTTCCAGCAGGCTTGTCCGGCCTCCTAAATGTAGCTTCTCTGAATCCTTGTTCAATTTGCTTCTGAGAAGATCTAAATTCTTCCAAATCAATATACTTCCGAATCCTTTCCATCAACTCTTCCTTTGTAGCTGGTCCTTTTTTCGCCAAAGAATCCGCCAACCCGCCAGGCTGTAACCCGGTGGTAAACAACAGCAAATACGTCTGATTCTCCAACCCCTTCACTTGTCTAGCTTCTGCTTGAAACCGTTCATAATTTTCTCTGACCTTTTCTCCTGGCTTCTGTCTCACTCCACATAAATTGTGTGTGGTTTTTGGTTGGGGTCCACAATGAGCAAACTGCTGTATGAAACGAAGAGATAAATCGGACCAACTGTCAATGGAATTGACTGGCAAGCCCGTAAACCATTCTAACGCCTGCTTCCCTAAGAAAACTGGAAATGTCCGACATAACAAAAATTCATATTCTCCACATAATGACATCGTTGCCCAAAAAATGGTTACAAACTCCTTTGGATCTGAACTTCCATCATAAGCTTTCATCTTAGTGGGTTGTTTGAACCAACTCGGAATAGGCTCCGCCCTCAATCTCCAAGATAAAGGGGTTCCTGAAGGACCCTGACTACCCGGCGGCTCTCGAATCTCCTGCGGCATCTGTTGTGTTAATCTCCTCGTCTGCTCATTCCAGCTTGGTCCTTCTTGTCTCATCATCTGTCCTTCATAACCACGAGGACTATAATTCTCTACTGATTGCCACCCTCCTCTCTGAGCCCGGGTTCCTGATGTATAATAGTACTCACCCTCATCTTGTGGAAAATCATCTCTGTAATAAATATACCGTCTTCCTCCATCTGTCCTCCTCCTCTCCTCAGCTTCTTTATAATGTCTCTGACCTCGCCCTCGCCCCCTATGGCGAGCGTAATAATGACAACCTTTCTGTCGTTGTTCGTCTTCCCAAGCATCCCCACGAGGTTGCTCATCTTTTTGTTCTTGACGCCCACGTCCTCGTCTTGCGTCTCTGACATTTGCCTTATAATCTTCTTCTTCTACCCTCCGGTTTACTCCACGTCCTTCCCCCTGATAATTTCTCCTCTCTAAAAGACTTCTGGATATCTGAGATCCTTGCCCTCTTCGAACTTCTGTCCTCCTATGCCCAGTCTCGGGTGGAGGTGATAATGGAATATAATCAGGAAAGGGAGATACAAAACCTCTCCACCTATCCCAATCATGTAGCACGTTTCTCTCAGATAATGTCTCTTCTGAATATTGCCTTCTTCCTCTTCCTTCTTGATGTTGCCGATTCCTTATCTCCTCCATTAACTGAATTAAAGCTTCTCCAATGGTATCTAATGATCGACTCCCTCCACTGGATCGGAAAGACTCCTCTTCCCTTCTGTTTTCTTCATTCTCCTCCACTCGCTCAACATGGTTGTTGCTTGCCATGACTCAAGAAAATGCGTAGGATTAGCTTTACCTTCCTCATAGACGGCGCCAAATGTTCTGGATGAACATTAATATGGATCTATATTCTCGTTATCTCCCTGTGTTATCTCTATCCTTGGTGTACATATGGGGCTAGCTTCTGAACAATTACCTCTATTATGGAAGTGGTGGGTACCATCGTGGCATCGTGGTAGGCCCACTTATAACTCCACTACTTGTAATACTGGCTGACTTAATCAACTGCTAACTTCCCTACGTGTAATACTTACTGACATGATTAACCGCCTATCCGGGTAAAGTATATCCGGGTTCCGTGTCCTTTACTCTTACGAGCAAGTATGGCTCAGTGTATGAACCCGGAACAATATATATATATATATATATATATATATATATATATATATATGAGTAAGATCCTTTATCGTCAGTATCAAATTTTAAATATAACTTATATATATATAAATTAAGCTACAGTGGAAATAAAATTTTTACAATTTTGTCAAATAAAAATAGAATTTTATCATATTATAATTATGTATTACTCAAAATATATAATTTTTTGGAGAATTTCAAATTCTAATAATATAAGTGCATATAATCCCATAAAAATAATGAATCGAATGACTACATTTTTTTTTCAAAAAAAATAAAGAAACTTTCCCTCTCAAATATACCTAAGAAATTACACGAATTTGGTCATTCAACAATAAGAAAATAACATCAATTTAATCCCTTATTCTTTAAAAGTTGATATTAATTTAAGGGTAATAATTATTTCCTGACATAATAATAGGTGGTCTCATCTTAATTTTTTTTTCCCCACTTTTATGTGATCCCACTAATTTATTGAGTCTATGGAAAGAAATAATTTTCACACGTTATTTCCCTTAATTTAATTTTTTAACAAAACAAGAAAGACATTTATTAGATAATAATATAAATTATTAATAAGGCTCTCAATCAATAATTTAAATTTTTTGGTTGAATTAATTATTTAGAAACATAAAAATTATAAATAAAAATATTTAAAAATTAAATATATATATATATATATATATATTAAAAAAAATATTAAATTATTAATTGGAAAATAAAAAATACATATATTTAAAACAGTGGGCATAATAAATAAGAAGGTTCGATGTAAAAATTGTGGAGTGGCTTTTGAAACGAGGGTTGAAGAGCGAAGATAACATAACCGCAGAGTGTGAGTAGCTGAGTGAGAAGTAAGAAGGAAGCACTTACCGGCGGCTGAGACATGACCGGCGAAGAAGTGTCGGGCCCAGCCGGCCCCAAACTCATCCGTCTCGTCTGGTTCGTCGGAGCCGGAGGTAATCCAATTTCCGATCATTCCTCTATCACACACACACCTATTTTGTATCGAATCTAATCGCGGCATCTTCGTTAACAGTGATCTGCACCGCCGCAATCAACAAGTGGCGCGAGTTCGAGAGGAAGGCAATCATCCAGCAGCATCAGCAGCAGCAGGAGGTAGGATCCAACGGAGTCCCACAGACACCGAATAATTCGTCAAATTCTGTTTCCGTGCACGAACCTCTCAAATAAAAGGTTAGGTTTATTATTATTATTGCAATTTTTCTGAGCTTCATCAATATATTATTAATGTTTTGATTTGATTGGTGGTTGTAAATTAGACGACGATTTTGCATCAAATTAAGGTGTATCATGTAGTTGTAGTTTGTCCTCCTTAGCTTTGGTTGTTTACATTGTGATTGTGAATGTGAAATTTTATTAGATTAGGCAATGAAATATTTGTCATTGCTTGCTTGGAAAAAAATGGAAATGAATTGTTAGTTTAACTAAGACTAGAGTGTTTTGGGATTGTTGTGGAAAAAGGCATATATTCTAAGAAAACTTGTAATTCGTTAACAAATTGTCATTGTATATATATATATATTTTTTTTTTATTTTAAAAAAGGAAAAAAAAAAGTGAAACATGCTACCACAAAGCTCCTATTTTGCTTTGAGTCCAAGTAGGAGTGTGTATTGTTCGAATTGAACTGAATTTTTTTAAAAACCGAACTACATTGGTTTAAATGGTTCGGTTCGAAAACGGTTCAGTTCAGTTCAGTTCAAAACCGATTCGGTTCGGTTTGAAAATGGTTCGATTCGATTCAAAAATGGTTCGGTGGTAGGAACCGGTTCGGGTCGACCTTATTCTGAAAAGAAAAAAAAAAAATTAAAGAAATAAAGTAATAAAAATCAGTTCAGTTCGGTTCTTGAACTAATTTTAAAAACCAATTCAGTTCATGAAATGGTTCTTTAAAAATCGGTTCGGTTCATGAACTGGTTTTTTAAAATCGGTTATTTTTAGTACATTTCAATTCGGTTCATGATTCGGTTAAATTTTTTGGTTATTTTGCACATCCCTAAGTCCAAGTAAGAATCAGCCTCATTATGTGGGTATGTAGTATGTATTCTTACCTTGTTTCTGCAAGAGACTGACTGTGATTTGCGGGTCTCATGGCGACAACACTAACCATTGTGCCAAGGCTCCCCTTCAAATTGTCATTGTTTACTATTACGGAAAAAGGAAAATGGACTATATAAACTTGATTGAGTTTCTCAGAATTAATTGCTGTTCCTACCTGAGTGTTTGATGATTAACATACCATTGGACTATATAACAAATTAAGATTGAGTAGATTATCGTTCCTCAAAGGTGCACCAATGTTCAGGTTTTTCTCAATTAAGTGGAATGTGAAAGAATTGTCATTGTTTTGTTTACTCAAATAAATAGTTATAGTTCTTCGGAAATGATTGCCGATGATATCTGAGTGTGAATATTAGCATGCCATTGGGCTTTGTGACAAACTCAGGTTGAGTAGGTTATGGTTCTTCAAAGTATTAATGAAATTGCATCAAACATTCAAGGTTTTTTCTAGGTGGGGAATTTGACTTAGCAGCTGTGGGTGGGAAGGGCTACTTTGAGATTCACCTCAAATTTTGAAAGAAAGGGATGCAGGAGTAATATTTAGGAAATTTTGGTAAGACAAAAACTACAAGATCTTGAGCAACTCAAGAAAAAATGTTTGTATAGTCCTTTAACAAATTTGCCTTCCTTTTTTCTTTCTTCAAACTTGTGTGTTATGGGTATTTGGTGACAACATTTCAATAATAAATTGCATGTCAAGAGTCATGTTGGTCAGTGGTCACTTTGGTTCACCCATTATGCAATAAATTATCGATTCTCCATGTTTCTTTTCTTATTTTCTGTGAATCAATGGTTCTTTTTATTCTCTCTACTGGATTGTGTCATGGCTGTATTACTGCACTACCCCTTTCTGCACTTGCTTGGTTTGGTGATTGATGAAGTTTTTAATTTCTTTTTACCGGCTAGTTGGCCAATGTTTCGATGTTTATCTCTTCCCTATGCGCTTGCTATTTATTCTACTTTACTGTTTCAAATAGACAATCTGCCATGTTCGTTCTATACCTGCTAGAAAGTCAAGTCCAACATAGATTAGCCTCTTTACATATGTTGGTTACTTTTTTTTTTGTATAACATATATGTTGGTTACTTGTTTGTTGTTTGATATACAAATGAAGGTTGAGATATTATTGCTTAGACACAGATCTAATGCCTCTGTTTTAGTAACATTCAGTACCAAGAAGCTAACTTGATTATGATGGCAAAATCAGATTAGATATAGTAAGCTACAAAAATTAACTAAGTAAGCTGGTTAAATTTTATCGAGCTCAACTCAGCAGAACTGATACCCATCCTTCCATCATCTTGCAGAATCAGTAGAAGAGGCTCTTCTTGGAACTACCTGCTTGGAGTGATTTCAGCTTCCGGATTTTTGTATCTTTAACTCCAGAATTGTTTGTAATGAATGTCTTGCTAAGATCTTTAAGAAACTAGTTGCACCACATTTTTTGGGTAAGCAACGGAATAGATATCCACATTATATGGTTCACGTATTGTAAGCATGCCAAGAAATATTACCTTTAAAGAAACGACATGCTTAAAATAAAACATTTTGTTAGCCATTCCTCTAATTCATTTCAATTTATAAAAATTTGAAAAGCTTAAATGTTTTGATCAACAATCTGATGTTACTGTTATACATGGTTATTCTACCCAAAGCAAACACATAACAACTAACCAAAATAATTGCACATTTCTTTATAAATTAGAAGAAAGCACGAATCTGACTGAATTTGACAATAATAAAAAGATTCCATTTGAATTTGATTAAAAATAATAAGGTTGGACTAAAGTAATCTGTTTTTTCACCCCCCCCAAGATTAAAAGTAATTTTTCGTTATAGGAGAAGTGATACATCCGAACTAGAGTCTAAGGTATACCTCAAAACTAGCAGCTACCAAACTACGGGCAATCCAACATAATTTGAATGAGATAGGATATTGACCATTTTCATGAAGAGCATTTACACCTGCACTTGCAGGCTGTTGCTTTCAACAATCATCTTGGAAACGCCAACCACCCCCATCATAATGATGTGCAAATAGACACGAAAATAGTTCATATCAACTGCTGCTACACTTTCACAAGAAATCAGTGAAAGTGGTGTTGCAGTGAAACGCCCCAACAACACAGCCAAAGGAGATTTTTAATCCTTTGCCATTTAGTGTATTTGTTGAACCATATCGACGGAGTATAAACATTATTTTTTAAATAAATATATCGTATATGAGCTATTAATGACGTCTGGAATCTCACAATCACTGTCAATCAATTAAAATTTGAAGAGGAAACTTTTCATGACAATCACACCCACTTATTCCTAAAATTAATGGACATGATATTAAGATTCAAGAACATCATGCTTAATTAAATTTATATATTTGATGATAGTGCGCAGATAATATGCAAGACTAACTAGATAACATTTTCTTTATATTTTTCTTACACAACTTTTTTTTTCAATAATAAATTAAGAAAAATACATATTTTAACACGCATTTCTTTTACCTTTTATTTATTAAATAAGGTATAGATATAATTGGCCTTATATTAGCTTGTATTAACATCCGTACGATATAACTGGTAGATTATTTATGTAAGCAATATATTATATAATTTAATGAGCTTAATTTGAATGCATTGTAAGTTAAAATATGATGTATATTGCCACATCCTTTCTTAATTTTGATAAATTCATTAAATAACGTGACCGAACATTTTTATATTAAAATATAAAACTCTTTTACATTCACAGTACATCAAAAATCAAATTGTAAATTTTAATTTTTATAAATCAAATCAATATTAACTTCTACGTTCATAAAAATTATTATTATTCTTAATTAAATTATTCCAAAACCAAACCAAACATTTGTAAATTACTATCAAATTCAATTCATTTATTATACAAGTTTAACTAAATATGAGTAATTTAATATAAGCTTATACTTTTTTGTGCGAAATTTATATCCCATTTTTATGAACAAGGTATGCTTGGTACAAGCTTTAACAAGATTTTACAGTAATGTTTAAATTAATAAAAATCAAAGGTAGACATTTTATTTTGAGTGATCTTAGGATGTCCTTATCCAGTAGAATGAGTCTAATCCCTTCGTAGTTTGGAGCGAGAAGATTTTTACCGGTAGTCCCAAAGTGTTTCTCATAGGAGTTGAACTCATAACTTCATCAGTCATCATAGCTCGATCCTAAAGCTGCAGTCTGCTTATCAACTGTGCTACACCTTGGGGTTAAAGTTGACATTTTAAGTGGAGTGTTCTTGTGTTTTCACAGCTCAACCAAACTTTGGTTCATCTATAAGTTCTACTCAGTGCTTACCTACAACTTGTTGGGCTGTTTTCAAAATAGTATGGGCCCAGTATGCAAGAAGAATCATTCAGATGTACATAGATACGGTCTTGATTGATATATGCATCTGCTGGCCTAGATTTGTAGGCAGCAAGCTTCTTCACAGAGAATTGATTCTTTCAGCTTTTCATATTGTATGGTTACTATGTTATGTTAAATGTAGCACATTTTTCAAGTTTTGTCTTACGCCAATGATAATATCTCAGAAATAGCTATGTATATACAGATAACGAATATGACAGAAAGGTTGTGTCTTTCCCATGCCTATATTATCTATCTATTTATCTGTCTAGACATCAAACACAAATTTCTAACTTAATTAAATAGTGAAAGGAAAAGGACAAAAATAAGCAACAAAATAAATTAAAAAATAAAATAAAGTTACATGGGGATGGAGTCATGGAGATGATAGAACGTGAGCAATCAATTCATGTGTGAATTAACATAGTTTTCCATTTCAATTTTTTTCTATAAATATGTTTCACAGTGGCCAGTGGGTAGGGGTGTAAATGGGCCAAGCCAGCCTACAGGGGCCTATGGCCTGGCCTACGAAAAGCCTGGCCTGTCCTGGCCTACGAGGTAAGGAGAGTAGGTTAAGGCTTGTAGATGAGCCTGTTTAGAAACAAGGCCGTAGGCTAAACATAAAATGTCTGGCCTTTTAGCCTGTAGGCCGGCCTGCTTAATATTTAAATAAAAAAAATATTTTATATATTTATTTATTTATTCTAAAAGTTAGATAACCTAATTGCTTTTGTTTTAGTATGCCAAGAAAAATTCAATCTTTGTTGTCATGAATTTTTATAATATGTGTTCTTGTTAAAAAATCTGTTGTAGAATTTTAATAATTTGGACACATGCTAGAAATATTGTTTAATGAATAAGATATTTCATTTTTTTTTTAAAATTTAATATGCAATATGGTAGGCCTAAAAGGCCTCACAGGCCATGTAGGCTTTTTATTTTTTAATAACAGGGCAGGCTTGGCCTTTAAACTAAGCCTTTGATAGGCTCATAGGCCAGATAGGCTCAACATTTTTGTGTGTAGGCCTAGGCCAGGAAGGCCAAAGCCTGCCCTGCCCTGACCTATTTACACCCCTACCAGTGGGGTCTTGAGAGGGATGCTTTTTTTCCCAAACCTTATGGCTTATATGTTCCCGACAATGTCTGGGGGTCAAATGGGTAATGATGGCCTTTCCTTAAATGGAATGATATATATCTTGATCAGTTCAAAGCATTACTGAGAACTATGAGACCCCAAACTATTTTCCACATTTGCACTCAATCAGAAATCAAGGACACTTCATATTTATAATCCCTCCCCACCTTAGGAATGGATTATCTATCCCTTTTTTTAATTATATGATCCCATCGTATGAAGAATTTATCTTATTTGTTGATTAATCATGTTCTTAGTTAAAGGAAGAAACCTTTGGACCATTAAATAATGTTTTTTTTTTTATATAACTCTATGTAGAATAACTATTATTTTTAGGGTTTAATGTCTCTTATATTGTAGTAAATAAAATTATTTCCGACACACACACATAAAAAATATGTGGGTTCATATTATCTCTTTCTCTCTCTTCTCCTCACATGACCTTACATGATTTTCACACCCTTTTATGTGTATGTAGGAGATAATTATATCTCTTACAATATGAGAAACATCTAACCAATCATTCTTATTTAACAGACCAAGATAAATATTTTTTTAAAAAAAATGATACTATCTATTATGTTTAGAAAAGAATAGAGGTTGCAATTCGAGTTATACGACACAACACGACAAGAATTTGACATAAATACAAAAACACTTGACACAAATAAAGATATTGAATACAAACATGATATGAATTTGAAAATGGGTCAAAACTTTTGACATAAACATGACTCACTTATTTTGCGAGTTGATATAACATGACATGACACGAATAATTTGTAAAAAAATTAACAAAGTATTGGCAGATTAACACACAAAATGACACAAATTTTTTCATATCAATTTTTATCAACATAACACCAATTTAAAAAAAGTTCAATTTGTTAAAGGTTTATGTTGAAAATTGTCACCTTGAAAAAGAACAAAGTAGTAAAACGAAATGTTCTCATCAATTCGAAGAATATCCAATGAGAAAGTGAAGATTGGCACCTCACATGGCCACGTTTATGGTAATGTACAAAGAGTACCAGGTACCATCAAATTGGGGTACCAAAGTCATTTAACGTTTTTAATGAAATGACATCTCCGTTTGGCTCTCTGTGAGATATTGTTCTGAAGGTAGATATTACTGCTCATAACTTGCAGCTTTTTGTCTCTCTGCCTTTTCAATATAATATTTCTTTTTTTCATTTTTTTTTTAAAAAATTGTTTGTTCTCTCTTGTGGGGTTTCATGCATTTTTAGAATGGCTTGCAAACCATATAAATATTAAATAAAATGACTGTGTCATCTGAACACAGTAATTATATGTGTGTGTGTGTGTGTGTGTCACCGTGCAAAGTGTCGTTTGGAGCTTAAATCAGCAAAAGCAAACAGATGGTATCACTATTGGTAAGTTTCGTGATTGTTCTACATTTCCCACATCGTTTTCTGAGTGTCCAATATGGTGAAGAGGCTAGTCAAACAAATGAAAAAACTATGTTATACAAACTCATTGCCATGCGAGTTGGAACAACTTAACTTTAAAATGTAGTGGCCCCAAATAGGACATTTACTTGTACAATGACCATAATGAGGTTTGTGTTGGAACTTGTATCAATAATGTTATGCCCCAATATGTCAGAGTAAATATTTTTACATAAATAATTTACTATAAAGTGCATCATGATTATTGATTCCTAATTCGAAGGTTGAATTTCAATTCCCTGTTTATTAATAATGTCTAACTGACTCAGAACTCGAAACTACTGATTAAACTGTAACAATTTTTACTAGTTAATTCACGTATTTAGTGGTAATAATATCAGTTATCTTCATTGAAGAACTGCTCAAATTAAACTTCCATTAATTAGTGACATGTTAATAAAATTTGAGCAAGAACTCCTCTGAGATACAGCTTGTTGATACAGTTAAAGAAGTTACTGCAATATCTATGAGTATAATTGGTTATACTAGATGAAAATGGCTAAATGTTATAAACATCTTTTGTCTAAATTCAATTAATAATGTTCATTAGCATAGAATATAATTGAATTATATATGCAAAAGCCATTGTTGGACAATGGATTGTATATTTTAATAATTCTTTGATTGACATTCTCATTGCCTTCGAAAACTTGCTCAGAAGAACAAAATGATTCCCCAATAATTAGATAATGTTAAATTGACAATGCCATATTTTTGTATAGTTAGTCTACTAAACCTTCACCTAACTGGAAACATATGCCAATGTAGAAGAATAATCTCTACTGGCGTGAGGAAGGTGCAAGTACACAATCCACACATATACACATACACACATACACACACTCACAGAACAAATGGTTAAAAGAGGAAGAAATGCATTAAAATATATTGAAACCATCTATCTATCTCAATGAGAAGAAACTATAGTAGTACTACTATTAATTTCAGATTAGGAAATGATAAGATGAAAAGCGAAAGCCTTCATAAACATATGGAATCTAGCTAAGATGCTTAAGATGGTAAATATAGATACATTTTTCATTTGACATTACCCTAGCTACTTCAAATAACAATGCAATATTCTCTCTGCCTCTTAAACCTTAACTAGTTAAACACAGTGATATGGTATCAACTTCACATAAGCTAGTTTCTCCATATCAATCTGTGTAACCTAAGAGTAAGTACCCAAACGAAGCTCCAGATCTAAATCATAATCTCTAGGCAAACCTATCTCCAAGTCCATCCTGAGGATCTCAGCATTCTTCAAGATTTTACACCCATCTTCTCTTGCAAAAGCATCATCATCACATTCTCCAACCCCTGATAAAGACTCAGCATTAATCTTCAATTTTGTGGGCTCTGAGGTCTTTGTGGTCAAAGGGTTCAATAGGACAGTACCATCCACAACACCCAATGATCTCTTCAACTCAGAAGGTGAAGGAGGAGTAGGAGAAACAAACAAGGGTAATGTGCAAGTGGCAGGTTTGAGAGTAGCAGAAGATGAAGAAGATGATGATGATGGAAATGAGGATAAAGAAGAGGTTGAACAGTTAGGGTTAAGGTTAAGGTTCAGCAAAGGGTCTTGACCTTGATCAGTTGGAGGTGATTGCCTCAACCTTGCTCTGTCTCTTCTATGAACATTCATGTGACCACCAAGTGCTTGAGCAGACTTGAATTCCTTTCTGCAAAAGCTACAAGTATATGATCTTGGTGGCCATGGGAAGCCATTGATGTAGTCCTCACCATTACTATGAGAGTTGTTGCAGTCCCAAAGCTCTTTTGCCATTTGGTTCTTGTTGCAGCAGTTGACACAGTTGGTGATAGAACTCTGCATGGAACCTTTCAAGCTAGTGCTCAAACAGTTCCTCTTCATACTCTCCTTTTTTTTATGTTTTTTTTTATTATTATTCCTCAGCCAAAGCCTTGTAAAGTTGTTGCAATATATATAAAAAAGAAACTGTCTTACTCAAATCATATCATTAGAAAACTTAAAAAGATAGATGAAAAGGTGTGTTGTGAATGATCACTTAGAGAGAAAGAGAGAGAGAGAAGAGAAAAAGGTAACACACTCACATACTGACCTGACCTTGGAAGAATGGTGTGAATGAATGATGATGATGATGAGGGTTGGGATATTTGAGTATATATGAGGCACAGTGTGTGTAGTGTGTAGTGTGTAGTGTGTGTGTGTAGTGATAGAAAGAGTTATAGAAAAAGAGAGCATAAATTTTGTAAACCGAAGAGAGGGAATCCCATTGGAGGGTAACCCTTAAAAGTCATGTGTGTTTGGTCACTACTTTCTAAATTTGGAACCTCGGCCTGCCAGGGTTACACACCTTTATGCCATATTTCTGTCACTGGTCAAGTTAAGATGACATATTCACATTTTGTTTTCTCGGTAAAGATCCAACCATTAACTCTCAGATTTTTTTTTTTCTCTCTCTCTCTCTAATGGGGCAGATAGAAAGAAAAAAAAAATAGTGAGAAGTTAATGAGCATTAGGTCATAAATAGGGTTGAGGACTTCTTAGTCAAGAGTCACTGAAACTATGAATTCTTAGCATATAGCAACCCCCGAGGTCCATGGTAAAGGTTTTTGAGGGTTTTTTATTTTATTTTTAATTTCTTCACCGATTCATTGATTAATTAATTGATTTAGTCTAGCCACACAGAACTACAAGAGTGATACAACCCAAAAACTTAAACTAGTTCTAGAGAGACAGAATTACAAGAGAGATAAAATTCAATACAAAAACTTAAGTTAGTGGGTGAAGATTTTTTAATAGTTTATATTAGGATGATATACCCACCTACTTATGCTAAGAAAATTCCAATCGAACACAGTACACAAAGCTGTAATACCATGTAAAAAATTAATTCAACTCAAAAATTTAAGTTAATGGATGAAAGCTTTTTAATGATTTATATTATTCTCTAATATATAGTTTATATAGATTTGAGTTCTAATTATGAAATGGTCTTTTCATCAATCAGTTATATATAAAAACTCACCTAAAATGGCTTGTATATGAAATCATCACGCTAATTATTGAGGTTAGTCAAAGATTTTGACCATCAAAACTAAACATCTCTGTTATAATACATTACAAGATCTTTTTTTTACTTTATGTGCATACGAGGATTTTTGCTTTCAAAGTAATAAATTAAGAAATCATGAGAAACCTCTTAAGCTAATAACGTAATGATTTCATCATGCCCATCTTTATTTGCCATCTTTCAACTAGTTCAATTACAATATTACTTCATCTCCTTCATGAGCTCAATCAAAAGTAATTGCTAGCCAATTCATTTTCTTTTCTTTTCTTTTTTCTAAGATGACCCATCAATTTAATTTGTTGCAATAAACCATACCATGACCATATTGTTGGTTATTGAAAAGGGTAGCATATGGCATTAATGGTGACACCGATGTTTAGTATTAGGTATAATTTTTCACAAATTCTACATTTCTACGTACGGGGCCACACTTTTGGTTGTGCTGGTACTTACGTGGTATTTTCCTCGATATGACTACAATTTATTTTAATCTCAACTTGACACGGAAGAACCAGTATTAATTTGAACTTTAAATTTATTCTAAAGTGTAAATGTAGATGTTTTTAAAGATTTAATGAATTTCACAGTTATAATCAATTCTACTTTTAAAAAAATTTAAAAAAATTCACTTTCTCAAAATCAATTCCAACATAATTGATTTTGAGAAGTTAAATTTTACCTAAAGTACAAACCAAAATTTTTAAAACAAACATTTTTGTGTGTATCCAATTATACCATAGAAGTGGCCCCATTATTGAATTATTTTAGTCTCACTTTTCAAACTTAATTAGTTTTAATATAAGTGTTACATACATAGAAAGGTAGCTTAATTTATTGAGAAAGTTTGACCTCTTGCCCAAAGTATTTTTCCAAATAATTCATATGATGAATTATTTATTCCATATGATGAGAGTTTATATAGACAAAATACAATTTGAAAATAATTACTACTCACTACCACAAGTAAACATATTGAACTAAAACAAAGTACCCACTACCAGTACTTATCTAATAACTACATAGTTTCTATCCGCTAACTTAAAATAAACCAATAATTCAGAAAATAACAAAATAATAAAATTGACAAACTCGTAACAATATGCATGTGAGAATTTTATCAGAAGTATATACTAGCCAGTTATATTTTAAATTCAGTAATCTTTTAACCTACTAAGACATATCAAGATGCTAGAAATATAATACAAAATATAAAAATTTATTCATCCGATTTCACCTAATTCAATCTTTTAGGAAAATTTGTTAGTTGACATTGAATTGGTTTCTTGACACGAGATAAATTATAATATTTGGAATTGAGACCTTTGACATATGTGAAACAAACAATACTATCCAATTTCGTAACTTTTACATGGAAGCTTTTGTTCCTACGTAGACAGAATGTGGTTATATAAAGAAGTGCATTTCCATTGGGGGTAACATCACTCTGACTGAGAAATATGAAGACTAGTTAAGATACCATGCCACCATGGTTCATTGTCTCAAATCTTAGAATGACAGTGCACACACACATTTTCTGAGGAGGGGGCCAAGTTTGATCAGAGAAGCCTAAATAGCCAAAAGATCCTACTATATCTAACACAGATTTTCTAAAAGACTAAAAGCCAATGACATGCTTGAATACAATGCCTTACATGGGTTACATTTTCTTAGGTTATGTAGCCGAAATGGCAGTGATTACTACAAGTGCATGGAGGTGCCGTCTCTGCCACTCATCATGCTTAAAAAATTTCTTGAGATTGAAAAGCATATACATTTTTTGTTGGGTCCTAAGCACCAGCCTACACCACTAGCTATTGTAGCATGTTACAATAATAAAGAATAGTTACCATATTTATGTTTGACAAAAAAGACAAACAATAAAGACTCAAGGTTGAATGTATGAAAATAACTAACTATATGAGTTGCTACTTGCTAATATAAAAGTTGATGTCTGTGCATACCTTGATTGAAGTCTTATCCATAATCCATCACACACCTTGAAGAATGGTTCACTTCTCTGGGGGGGACTTTGACCTTTGTCATAACCACTTCAAAGAAATGAGGTATTGAAATTTGATTGGCTGGTTTGGTTATAGCAAGGAGGATGCTTTTGTGAGGTTGACAGGTGTAATTCAAAAGCTCTTTTATAAATAGTAGTATGAGCCATGGAACTTTTGGGTGATTGATATATTATCGGTAATGATGAAAGTTATTATTCGTAATTAACATTGTTTTTAACCTGGCACTAGAGTTTAAATTTAATATGTTATTGGTGTTGGAAACTCGGTTCCTTCAAGTCGACTAAGCAGCTGTTGCGAAATCGGTAAGTATACCGTTCGTTTTCAAGTAATAAAATGATAAGTAAATATCGTTCCCGAGGATTAATGCATCAAGTATTAATTTAACTATTCCCCTTAAGTTGAAAAAGAAAATTTGTTTGAATTGTGAAAGTAATTGATTTTAATATTTTAAAAACAGAATTTAAAAACAATAATATTTAAAAACAGAAAATTAAGAACAATTAAATTCAAACGCATGCAAGAGTATCAAGAACGTTAAGAAAATATTGATGGAAATTTGTAAAAAGACTGTAGTCAGGATGCACTTCACCTTCGATCCTCCCTTATATTCCTATATTGTATTTTATACTTAACTAATTGGTTTGCTCAAACAATTCATTATTTCCCTATAAATTCGTTTGAACCCTAATGTCTTAGTGATTTCAACTCTTTAACCCAATTAGAATCCTAGTGTCCTAGTAATCCCTCTTGAATTAAACATTAAGCAAATGAATTAAAAGTCTGCAATCTATGTAAGCCTATGTCTAGGTTATGCACAAATTGTTATTCTACTTTTGTCTAGACTAAAACCCCAATATGTCTATTGTGAGTCCTAACCCTCAAAGCCTTATAATTAGAGTGGCCAATTCTAATCAGGATATGGAAAAATTAACACAGGTAGAATAAAACAAACTAACTAATTAAATTATAAAAAAAATACAGAAAATATAAAGGATTCACATCGGGTCCGTAATCCCAACTACAAAAGAAATTAGCCAGATATAGCTGGCTTAAACAAATTCAAAGAATAAAAATTGTACATAAACTAAGAAGAAAAGAAGAAGAAGAATAAAAACTCAATGGTTTTCAGTCTTCAACTCCGGTGGAATCCTGATCTCCAGCACGAGTCTCCAGGAATTCTCTCAATTCTCTGATCCTCACAATTCTCTCCACCCAAAGATGTCTGTCTCTAGGAGTCTAAGCCTCTATTTATAGACTTTGTGTCTTGTTCAGATATCTTGATTAAATCTTCATCGTAAATCTTGGTCCAACCTTTCACTAATTCAGAACATGATTTGTTACTGATTTGTACACACCTCCCACGCTACTAGCGTGGATCTCACGCTGTCAGCGTGGGAGTTTTGTTAACAAGGCTGAAAGTTCACACTACTAGCGTGGTTCCCACGCTATGAGCGTGGTTGGAAAGAATGTCTGGCGCTACAAGCGCGGATTCCAAGCTAACAACATGAATGCCTCTAGATGAAAAGTTCTTCTGGCGCTACTAGCGCCACACCCACGCTATCAGCGTGGGGCTTCAGTTTACTGCTTCCAATTTGGGCTCCTGTTTGTCTGTTTTCCTAGCAAATCAGAAGAAAATCAGTTGTACGATCTCTGATTAAGATTTATCAAATTAACAGTAATTACTGCCCTTTTTATCCAAGATTAATCAAGATTCTTTCTCTTTTTGGCTTAGATTTATACATATGCTGGAGGCATCTCAAGCAATTCCCAGATTTGAACATTGCTATCCTCTGCAA